GTCTAAGCAGGAAATTACTTTAGATACAGAAGCTGAAGTGATGCGAATGTCAAGCAAGGGATCAACCTGTTTGACGGCTATGTCAGGTAAAACGCAACTAGTGGAATCAAGAGATGATATTGATGAAAAGATCTTAGCAAACAATTCAGCTTTGTCTTTAGGTGAGGTGACAAAGTCTGAACCATACAAGAGAGAAGGAATAACAGATTTGCCCTTATTATTGATACTGTTAAAGATTCTCCAGAAGTCTCGAGAGCCTAATTTTTGTGATGAGATACGAGATTTAATGACCTGGGAATAGCGAGCTTTGGCGTCAGACAAAACCTTTTTACAATGGTTTCTGGCGATAGTGAACAGATGTCTGTTTTCTGGAGAATTGTTTTGCTGATAGATATGGAAGTAACGGTTTCGATTAGAAATTGCTGCAGCGCAATGTGAGGAAAACCAAGGAGAAGAGTGAGGCTTGACCTGGAATCGTCGAGAGGGAATAAAAGATTCCATGCCAGCCTGAATCCACGAAGTTATGTAAGAAGCACATTTGTCAGCAGGAAGACGAAAGATTTCTACCCAAGGGCCATCACGAAGAAAATCACGGAAAGAGTCCCAGTCAGCTTTAAGGTAGTTGTATGTGGTACGATGATAGGGGGATTCTGATGAAGTAGAAGAATTTGATAATAGTTTTAGAGAGATCAAACCGTGATCAGAAGTACCTAAGGGTGAATGTGGAGAAATTGAGCACTGACTAGGATCCAAAACAAGACATAAGTCGAGTAGAGAAGGTAAATGATTAGGGTTGTCTGGAAAACGAGTTGGAAAGTTGACTATTTGAGTTAGAGATTGAGAAAGGCAAAAGTTGAGGGCCTTAACGCCAGCAGAGTCACTGACACTAGAGCCAAGCCAATCGGTGTGGTGGGCATTAAAGTCACCAACAACGACGATATTGGCCGATGGATAAAGAGAGAGGGCTTGGTCAATTTGATCAGAAATAACATCAAGAATAGTGCAATCTTGGGATGAAGGAGAGCGATATAGAACAAAGAGAAAGGCGATAGAGTGAAGTTGTGCTAAACGAAAGCACATAAATGAATAGTCTGTAGATTCAAACCTAGTTTCACGACAAATGGGTGAGTTCTTACGAATGTAGATGCCCAGGCCAAGCATGTGATTATTGGAGTCTTTACGAATTAAAGGAAGATAACCATCAACACTAAGATCATAAGATGGGACAGCCGAACTCAAATTAGTCTCACAAAGAGCAAGTAGGTCTGGTGAACTTTGCAAGAGATAAGACTCAACAGAAGAAAAGTTACTTCGAAGACCACGAATATTAGTAAATGATAGGTTTAGAGAACTTGGTGATGACAATGGTTTTTTGTGTTTTTTAGTTTTAGGTACTTTAGTCATTTTAAATTTATAAAGAACTTGACTCAAGTATAGATAGTACTCAGTACACTATTTAACAACTAAGCAATAGCCTCATTACTATTAATAAACCCTAAGCCGTAACAAAGGGCTCCAAATGTGGCCTCTGCAATGCACACCAAAAGTACAAACAGGGACACCATCCATGCGCAACATGGCACTGTTAGTACTCTGATATTTTTCAGCTGTTGATGGAATCAGCCTCTCTGAGAGCTACCACAGAGTTCGGGAAACCTGACTACCAGCCGGCCTCAGAACCATAAAACTGAGTTTTAGAGCTGTACCCTCATTAGGAGATAATAGAATGAGTTGCCCAGTCATAAAAATAGAGACACAAGCAATACCCACGCATTGAGTCAAGAAGATCCAGCGTTCAACATCCTAAACTGGAAACAATGTATTAAAAATACATCTGCGCCAGCCTAATAGATGAGGAAGGGGTGCGAGGCTGGTCAACAGATAGAATCTGTTTACCCCTTAAGTCTTTGCCTAGGAGGCCTTCTACAAGACAGCAGCTGGATGCATGTAACATCTGCCCAAGATGAGTATTTTTATCGAGACACCATCTCTAGCCTTTACTCAACCAAGAGCCCCAAGGCAGGGGGTGTTTTAAATCGGAGTTAACTTCTCCTAGCCTTTGCCTAAAAAAGCGTATCCTACAAGGCAGCAGGACATGGAGCAGGTTGTACTGGGTTACATGTTACCAGTAGCAGGAAAACCTGACCTGACCTGACCTGATTTTCTTTTTATGACAATACCAAATAATGAGTTGATGATTAGGTTGCCTAAAAAGACCAAGACTTTTTTCAGTGTGGAATCCACATGCTACCTGAAAGATATGAGGAGATTGCAGCTGCCGATGGACAGTATTTTAAATGATTTGAGTCTGATAGTCTTCTAAAAATAAACTGTTGATTTTTATAAAAAACCACTCGTTTTTGATGGATTCTCCCAATTAAAAGTAATGCATACTCCCAATATATATGTACCAACTTCTTCTTTTTTAGGTTGGGACTGTTTAAATGTGTTTTTCACATTTAATTTTTTTTAATACTGGTTTTTAATTCAGATATTTTAATTTTGTTTTCAGACTGTTTTTTATGTAGTTCTGCCCATTAAATGAAAAAAAAGACTATAATTTAAAATTTGATCTTTCTTCCTCCCCCTTTTTTAAAAATTTGAGCTTATTTTGAACTATGTTTTAATGATTTAAGTAAATAGATATAAGATAGTTTAAAAAATTGCTTTTAATTAATAAAATATTTAACTAAAAGATTTTAGTTTCAAAAAAGTTGCATACATATATAAAGAGAGAGATTTCTGTATTTGTATATATATTTTAATTTTTACTTTTTTGTTTTAGTTATTTGCTAAAATTGAACTTGATGGGTCAAATTTTCATGCTAAAAATAATTTTCGTAATATTTACAATTCGTTATTACTTCTATTTAGGTATTGCTTTCAAATGATCTTAAAAAAATTTTTATGAAAAGTTTTAATTTTTTTTTTTTGCTTAATTTTTGTTGCTTGCAATTTAGCAGTACACTTATTTGTAGATTTGATTTACATGTAAATTTTTTGAATATAATTTGTTAAATTTACAGGTGTTCCACTGGAGAAAATTGGAGCTCTTTGATGTATGCTTGTTATAATTCAGCAAAATGTGAAAAAACATATTTTGATAGTACTGGGACTAAACATTGTGGTAACACGGTGGCAGCTGTACTATATTTTACAACATACATGTTTTTTTGCATGTTTCTTGTATGTTAAACTATTTTCTTGTTAGTGTGCTTTATAGTTTTATTTATTTTTGGTTATTTGTTTATTTGTAAAATTAATGAAAAAAAAATAGTAAAATACTTTTTAATATGTTTTGAACAGCAATTATCAGTAAAATATATAAAGTTTAAATACTTAAAAATATATATATATATAAAATTCTAAATCTATAAAAACTTTAAATATAAAAAATTCTAAATTTATTTGCATAAAAGTCTGTTTAAGTTTACATTCTTTAACATTTTTAAGAAGACACCTTATTTAAGTTTGGGTTTTTCAATTGAATTTGCAAACCCTGACAAAAAAATTTTTTCCTTAAGCATGTTTTAAATATGTTTGATTTTTTTATTATTTTTTTTAATTTTTGAGATGTTCATCAATACACTAAGATAATTTATGGAGACTAAACCCAAAAAACATAGTAACAAAAGTAAATTTATAAGCAAATTTGATTTGTTATGTTTTGGAAGTATATCTTCAAGTGAGAATTACTATCTTATTTTTTTAAAGAACAAAAAATTAATTTAATATTAAATGTTTATAGGAGTTGAATAATTTGAAGTTCAAATAATTTTTTAATGTTGGGCAGTTTAACAGGATATTGATTTTGTGTGTGGGTGTATATATATATATATAAATATATATATATATATATATATATATATATATATATATATATATATATATACATATATATATATATATATATATATATATATATATATATATATATATATATATATATATATATATATCAGGCTTTCCCAGGAAAGGCGTGCGGTCGCACGCCTTGTTTGGCCACACATATAAGAAATTTCGTTGGAAAGCGGAAATTATCCACAGAGAATAAAAAATAATTTAAAAAAAAGGAAACGAAGTCTAAGGGTTGCTATTTTCAGCTACGAAATTTGATACAAGTCAAGGAAAAGACGACGATAAGTCATAAAGTTTTCACGAAAATAAAGACTTGATACGTAATTTATTCACGAACTTTATCAGACAATGTATTAAAAAACTGATTCATTATTTACGCTAGACAAATTTGGTTAAACTTTTTCATTTAATTTAGTTTTTACGAAGGTTTATGCAAAGGCGATGACTCTATTCCCCAATACTTAGACAATAAAATAAATTGCTGTTTTAATTATTAAATATATTATTTGAGATTTTAAACATAACAAAATTTTAATGTGAAAAAAGTTCTTTCTCGGCTTATTTTAAACTGATTATACTGAGTCAATGCTCGCCTTTTATTTTGTTGAAATTATTCAATTGCATAATTTTGTTATTACGAAAGAAGTTAAAAAAATAATTGCATTGCTTCTGTTGTCATTGTTACGAAAACAGTTCCTTCGGGACATTATTATATATTATCTCTCTCACAATGTCAATTAATGATTGCAAAATAAGCAACTCAATCGTTTGACAATAAAATTTTCTTTCATTTAAAAAAAACAAGCAAATATATTTTACTAATAAATAGCAATCGTTTTCGTGTTTTCTTGCGTATCAATACATTCAAACATTTAAATCAATACATTTAAACATTTAAATGTATTTACGAAACATTAAAAAATTGTTTATAGTTCTATCGTAAATTTTAAAGTATTACTGACTGATAAAAGTCATTGATAAACAAATTTTACATTAAAAGGTTTTTTTATTTTCTTTAAACATTATTCTTTTTCTTTTTGATTTGATTTTTCTTATTGATTTTCATAGCTAAAATAACTACCACCCTAAAAAAATAAATAAATAAAATATAGGTAAACTTTTTTTAATTTTCAAGCACAAACAGATTTCTGTTATTTACTTTAAGGTTGCTTGCATTTTTGCAGTATTTTCGTTTAGCTATGTTTTGGCGCGAATTCTTGAAATGCATAATAATAAAACGTGGTCAGTTAGTCAGAAAAATTAATTCTATGCGTGGACAAACAAGGCGTGCGACCGCACGCCTTTCCTGGGAAAGCCTGATATATATATATATATATATATATATATATATATATATATATATATATATATATATATATATATATATATATATATATATATATATATATATATATATATATATATACAATTTATTGCAAAGTATATATATATATATATATATATATATATATATATATATATATATATACTTTGCAATAAATTGTACATTGGTTTCCATTGATTTCCAGAAAATGATATTCTAAAAAGATGTAAAGGTAGTAGAAGACTTGTTGTGAGAAATGTTAAAAAATAATAATAATAACTTCTGCTAATTTCAATACATTATTTAAAAGTTCTTTTTTTTTTCAGCTTTTAAATTTGTTTGTTGCTGTAATAATGGACAACTTTGAATATTTGACTCGTGACAGTTCTATACTTGGTCCTCATCATATGGATGAATTTGTTAGATGTTGGTCTCAATTTGATCCTCAAGCTACGTATGTTTTATGATTTTATTTTTTTCAAACTTTGCTTACACAACAGCATGAAGAAAACTAGTTTTTTTGTGAAAATAATTTTTTTCTCATTTTCTTCATTATGATCACGTAAAAAAACAAAAATTGCACAAGGAATAGACAAACACAGTCAGAAACCACTCAACAAGATTTAAAAATCTTTTCTTATATTTTCTAGATTTACAATTGCTCTTTGAATTACTCTCGAAGTAATAGTCCCCAAATGTAGTCCCCCATCATGTTTTTGTTATACTGTCATTGGTAACAATATTTAAAGTCCAATATATCTTGATGAAAGCACTTGCCTAGTTCTTTGGAGTAACCATCCATTTTCTCCTTGAACTTGTTGAGATGCAAATCAAGGATTTGGACTTTTAGAGGCATTCTGCTTCCCATTTTGGCATAGTTCTTTATGAGAGTCTGCACCAATTCCACATAGTTTTCAGCTTTGTGATTACCTTGGAAGCCCTGAAATTGGAAGCAATGAAATTGCAGTTGTTCAGGGCTTTCAAAGTAATCACAAAGCTTGTTCAGGGTACTGACTCCTTGTCAAGAGCAATGACAAATTGCTTTATGAGGCCTAACGTGATGTGTAGTAGTGGCATAAGCACATTATGAGGTTCTATCAGCAGCTCCCATTTCACATTGCTCTTCCTAAAAGAAAAGTCAGTCTGTTGTGACCAGTCTTTTGTTTGATAATGCGCCTTAGTGTCACAGCTGTCCCAGAGACAGAGGAAACATGGAAATTTTGTGAAACCTTCTTGAAGACCTATGAGTAATAATACTATTTTGAAGTCACTGATGACCTTCCATCCATAGTCATACTTTAATGCACTCAGCAACATTTTGACACTGGTGTAGTCCTCTTTGAGATGAACAGAGTGGGCCATCAGAGAGATTGGTAGTTGTTTCCGTTGTGAAGCAACACGACATTGAAGCTACTTCCTCTTGTGTTTCCACTTAAACACCATTATCAACCACTGTTTCCACTGTTTGATCCTGGATATCAAAAGCTCAATATTCTATTTAAATTGTTCACATCTTTCTGGTTAGGGAAAAAAGCTTTCTATCCCCAACTTCATCTGCAGAATCGTTGTCCATCTCCAGTATCAACCTCTTGATGCCATATTAAATAACTTCACTTCAACTACAAATTTTTTATCCTTTTAGTCTGCAACAACATAAATCTGAATCTTGGTTCAAGATACCTGTGCTTTTATACTTGCACAACTACTTTTGGAACTTTCAAGAATGTTCAATTTGCTTTTCAAGAACTGAGGGTTTCTTGAATGTTCTAAATTGTTTAGGAGAATTGTAGAAACATCTGGACAACTCTAACATTTCAGGAATATTATAGGAAGAAACTTAGCATTGAAAGCAAATTGAAAATTTTCTCAAAAACACATGATTTTCCAAGTTTTATTGCCTCAGTCACAGAAGCAAAGTTTTTCTGGAATAACACCAATTTCCTTTCTGTTCTAGACCTAACGAGTTAGGAAAACACACTTTCAACCCAGGAACAGAACAAAAGTGAAAATTTGTTACGTAGTGTAATAGTTAACTTCACTAAATGTATTAAGTTGCTACATAAAAAAGATAAAAAAATTTTCTTATGACATTTTGAGTAATTTTTAAATGCTATAAATCATGTGCTGTTCTGTTTTTAAATTTATATAATTTAAATTTAAATATAACTTAAATTTGACACAGACCTGTAATTTTATTAGATAAAAAGTTTTTTAAAAGTTACTTTAAAAAATGTACTTACATAAAATACAATATATTAAATTATTAATTAAAAGAATATAAAATCTTTAATGATTGTCTAATATTTTTAACAAACTTTAAGTAGCTAAGTTGAGAAAACATCAAACAATGAGAAGAAGTTCCAAAGCACTGGTGTGCAAAGAAAAATGCTAAATGGTCATTTAATAATGAATGACAAAATTCTCACTGAAATCAGAATGAAACAGTATCATTCATGAAACAGTAACAATAATTATTGTTTGAAGTGATAATAACAATAAATTAAACCACTTTTTATGTAAGATTTTCAGGAAGATTATTAATAATGATGAAAAACAATACAAGACCAAGTGTAGAATCTTGTGGTTACCCAAAGGTTACTGGAAATAAAGGAGAGTGTTGTCTTTCAATGACAATTTATGTTGTGGTTTACTTCAGAATACTGCGTTTAGAAGAGAATGATTTAATAATCTTAAAAACTTTCCCAGATACACCATATGAAGTGTCTTTGAAATAGATGGAGTTTTTTTTATCAAATAGAAGGCAAAGAGTTGTTCTTCAAGATATGGCTTAGTGATTTGATTTGTATACTCCAAGGCTCTGTTTGGAACCAATTTTGTTTTTAACCTATATTAATAATCTTTCAGATAAACTAAAAAAAAAAATTTGTGCTGCTGATTGCTAAGTGTTCAAATTAATCAATGATAACAGTTGTAATGATCTTCAGGATGTCATAAATTTAATTTTTAATTAGTGCAACGGCTGGAGAATAAAAAAATTAAATATAGAAAGTTATAAAATTATGCATGTCACTAAAAGAACAAAATTTAACAAAAATATTTTAAAATATTACATTTCTGATTATCAGTTAAGTATTGTAAAATGTGAAAACAACCTTGGTATCATGTTAGAAAAAAGATTTAAAATATGATTATTTTATATCTGCTTGTGTTTCTAGGTAAAAAAGAATTCTAGTTTTTATTCCACACACATTTTCATTGTTAAATGCTGATATAGTTAAAATTGTTATGCCTTTTGCTAGTATGCCCTCATCTTAAATATGATTCTGCAATTTAAAATCGATTTTTGAAAATCTTCACTTCCAACAAAGCTGCAAGCAACCACTATTAGAGTTGGAAGTTACTTGAAGAGAAAAGATGAAGATTGTAGAGCAAGATAAGGATTGACAGACGACTTAAAAGATGGCAAATTATATGAACCAGAAAAGCAAGATAAAGGAAGCGAATTCCAAAGAACTGATGTTTGAGGAAAAAAACTAGAGGAATAAGAGTTTTTGGAGCACTTAGGAACAGTCGCAGGAAATTATAAGACTTGATTAAATGACGGGTAACACAAGAATGAATTTAAGTAGATGGCACAAGAGATGCTAGCTCTTTAGAGCAGTACCCATTGTAGTATTTGTAGAAAAGAGAAAGAGAAGCAACATTATGACAACATGATAATGGTTGGAGGTTGGCTGCAAGAGCAGATCCAACTATGTTTACAATGCATTTTTTCACCTTGTCTAAAAGAAAAAGAGCATCATTAGAAAATCCGCCCCAGATATGGCAACAGTATTCCATACAAGGCTGAATTTGAGATTTATAGAGATAAAGAATAGAATCTGGAATAAGAAAGTGATGAGAACGATAAAAAAATTCAACCTTAGCAAATGCTAATTTTGCAATGGATTTGATATATGGTTTCCAAGAAAATTCTGAAGAATTAATCATAGAAGATGAAGGGTAGATAACTCATTGAGTACCTTACCATTCATAAATATAGGAAGATCTAAATTGTGATAACAATTGGCTGAAATAAATTGAGTTTTATTTGAATTAAAGTTCACCGGTCACTGTGAGCTCCATGCTGTAGCAGAAGTGAGATCCTCTTCAAGCTCAAGTGCCCCCTCTAAGCAATCAGAGAATGTTGACTTCTTATCAAGACAAGAATAAATGGTAGTATCATCAGTGAACAATGCCTCCTTAAATGTAAGAATATCTGGAAGATTGTTAATGTAAATTAAAAAGAGTATAGAGCCAAGGATTGAACCTTGAGGAACCCCTAAAGTTATAGGATATGAAGAAGAGTGCTGTCCATTGAGGACAACTTTTATACTATGATTAGAAAGGAAGGATTCAATAATCTTAAAGATGTTGCCAGATACACTCTAAGAAGAAAGCTTATGGAGAAGACCAGCATGCCAAACTTTATCAAAAGCTTTAGAAATGTCAAGAGCAATGGCCTTAACCTCTCCACCTTTATCTAATGCGAAATAAAACCTATTGGTTATTTCTGTTAGCAAATCAGCTGTAGAATTAGAAGATCAAAATCCATATTGATGATCAGAAAGTAAGTTATTAGATTCAAAATAAGTGACTAAGCGTTTGTCAAATAAAGATTCAAAAACCTTGCTTATGAAAGGAAGAAGACTTATGGTATAATAGATAGACGAATCATATTGGTGTCCAGAATTTTTGCAATTAGTGGAATTAAGAGATAAGATATTGATGAAAAGTTCTTAGCAAACAGTTCATCTTTGTCCTAAGGTGAAGTGACTAAGTCTGAATCATACAAGAGAGATGGAATAATAGATTTGCTCTTATTATTGATACTATTAAAGAATTTCAAGAGCCTAATTTTTATGATAAAATGCAAGGTTTCATGACCTGAGAATAGCGTATTTTAGCATTAGACAAAAACTTTTTACAATTGTTTCTAGCAGTAATAATCAGTTGACTGTTTTCTGTAGAATTGAATTGCTGACAGATATGGTAATAAGTAACAGTTTTGATTGAAAATTGCAGAAGCATAATGTGAGGAAAACTATGTAGAAGAGTGAGGCTTGACCTGGAAATGTCAAGAGAAAATAAAAGATTCTATGTCAGGCTGAATCCACGAAGTTATGTAAGAAGCACATTTGTCAGCAGCAAGACAAAAGATTTCTACCCAAGGGCCATCACAGAGAAAATCACAGAAAGTCAGCTTTAAGGTAGTTAAGATGTACAATGATAGGGGATTCAGATGATGAAGAAGAATGAGATAAAAGTTTTAGAGAGATCAAATTGTGATCAGCAGCACCTAAGGATGAATGTGGAGAAATTTAGCACTTATTAGGATTAGAAACAAAACATAAGAGTTCCAAAAGTGCTATTGAAACTCTCTCCCATCTTATAAAGTAAAAATTTTGGTTGTTAACTCCTTGATAGATGATGATAGCTCCTTTGAGCAGCAATCATGATGTTATTTGTAGAAAATAGAAGAATCAACTTTGCAATGATGAAAGAAAGAATCTTTACAATGATGGGAGAGAGACTCAAGCTTGGTAGATAAACCAGTCCAAATATGATAACAGTATTCCATACAAGAACGAATAAGAAATTTTTAGAGGTAGGAAATGGAATTAGGTGTAAGGTATTAGCGAACATGATTAAGAGATGCAACCCTAGTAGATGCTAACTTTGCAATCATTGTGTTTATGGTTTCCATAAGAGGTTGGTAATAAATGATAATCCAAGAAGATGTTAAGACTCAGTGAGAGGGTTTCCATTCATTAATATAGGAATGCCAACAAAATTACAATAGTTACTTGCAGTAAATAACTGAGTTTTATTTTGCCTAAAGTTTACAATCCACTGCAAGCCCCAAGCTGTTACAGAAGTTACAGAATATCAGATTCAAAATGGCTGCCTGTTCTAAGAGATCAAAAAGTGAAGGTTTTTTGTCAAGACAGAAGTATAAAGTTGACTCTTCAGCAAATGAAGCCACTTTAGATGTAAGGTTGTCAGGAAAATCATTAACATATATAAAAAAAGAGTGTTGGCCTTCTAGGATAATTTTAACAAATTGGTTAGAAAAAAATGAATCTATAATCTTTAAAATTTTCCCAAATGCTCTATTATCAGAGAGAAGACCAGCATGACAAACTTTATTAAAAGCTTTAGATATATCAAGAGCATTTGCCTTTCCTCACCACCTCCATCTAATGTACTATTGAAATTTAATTATAAGGTACCTTAGAAGTTACTGGAAACAAATAAGTGTTAGCTTTTGAGAATTAATAAAGTGGCTATAATAAAATGATTTAATACTCTTAAAACTTTACACCATATGAGACAAGCTTATGGACAATACCAGCATGCCAAACTTTGTCCAAAGCCATAGATATGTCAAGAGTAGTAGTCCTAGCCTCACTGCCTCCATCTATTTCACAATAAAATTTTTCAGGTATATTAGTTAGAAAGTCAGCTGTAGAACAAAAAGACCAAAAATTGTATTGATTGTCTGATAGTAATTTGTTTGACTCAAGATGAGTTGATCAACTTGATGAGTTTGATGAGATGTTAAAAATTTGTTGATCAAAGACTTTGCTAATAATAGATAATTTTGGATGTGTCAGATGTGTGATGTTCTTTTGAAGGTATTAGCATATTCTCCTGAGTTTTTAAAAATTGGAACCACAGGTTCCATTTTCCAGCAGGAAGGAAAACAAGATTCAGTCCAAAATCTTATGAGTAGAGTCATGAAAACCCAGCATCCATCATCTTAGACAGGAAACAATGTAACACAGGTTTACATCTATGCCAACTTAATAGATGAAGAAGACATGCAAGGTTGGTGAACAGAATTATTCTGTATACCCCTAAAATCTTTGCCCAAAAGGCATTCTCCAAAACAGAAGTGTGCAGTTAACATCTGCCCATTTTTGTTGAGACACCATCTCTAACCTTAATTAAGAGCTTTAAGGCAGAAGTATTTTAAGTCAGAGTTTACTTCTCCTTGCTTTTGCCACAAAAAGCATATCCTTTAAGACAGCCTGACATGGGGTAGGATGTACTGGATTACATGTTACCAGTAACAGGGGGATCATAATGATTCTGAACATGATCTGACTAGTAAGTAATAATAAATTTAAATTTAAATAAGAATAAATAATAATAACTATAAAAACTGGAAATAATAATAAATTTGAGAACAAATAGGTATACAAACTATTTTTTTTCTACCTATTTAGTTATAAAATAATTTTAATATCAATAATTTTCAATTTATTTTTTTTTTAATTTAAGGTTTTGTTATCTTATTTATATAGTTTACATC